CCATTGTTGATGAAAATGTTAAAATATGCNCTTTTTAAAAAAAAACTTACTCTACATATTTTTCAGCATGGGAGGTCCATGGGAAGGACTCATACATGCCATGCACAGCACTGGCCCACACCCACAAGTGATATTTAGCTTGGCTTCCTGCTTAACAATTTTATACAGAAATACCAGTGGGTCTGAAGCTTCTGAAGAGGAAGCCATAGAGTATATATCTTCCTTGGTTCATGTACGTTCATGAATCATATATACAGATCTCCGGAACCTACACCAAGCAAGAAGAAGAAGTCGAAAGCCACTTCGGTAAAGGCTGAAACGTAAGTGTTTGTTTCAACAATTGCCATATGCACTATGAGTTGACACGTGTTAAGTGTTGGTAAAAAAAGGACCCGTAGATCGGCTCAGGATTCCGATGAGGATCCATTTGTAGTCAAGTCTCCTGCTAAAAAAATGCGCAAAACTCCCAAAGGAAAACGCTCCAAGTCCTCTAGCAAGGTCTCATCCAAGAAGACGGACATATCTGACAGGTGGGTCTACAATCACATGGAGTTAACTTCATCTTTTGCTTATTTTTATTCAGCTCTTCTCGTGGGAGCTCTGATGAGTGTGTCTTTCATCGAGGGTAAATTTTGACAAAGGCGCTAAACTTTTCTGTCCAGAATGGATGTTGAACTTGATTCATCTCCCTTGTCCAAAAAGTAAGTTCCTTTTATTAAGTTATTTATTATTGCATTGCTGAGCTATCCTTCGGAATTCCTGTGCAGGAGCGTACCCTATGGGAAAGAATTTGACAAGTCAATGTGAGTGACCAGTCAATGGCATTCCAGCTTTCATTAAAGCATTTGTAGTGCAAAAGCAAAGAAGATGCAAGTCGACAACAAGAAGGCAATGCGTAAACTTGGAAAGGAAATGGCAGATGATGAAGCAGAGATTGAGAAGTACGAAGAAAGTGGCAAGGAGGGGTCTGACGGTGATGACGATGATCTCCCTTCTGAAGGAAAAAAGAAGCATATCAAGCAAGTCTAATATTTCTTTTGTTTGAACAAAAATGCTGATACACCACGTCAGAAAATCTGAGGCGCTTCTCGAAGACCTAGTACGAGATCCCGTTCCATCGTGCGTAATCATGCTATCTTGTAATCATGAATCCTAAAAGCTCTTTCCAGTTATCCCAAGCTCCGTAAATGTGGTATCTTCAAACCAGCACTTGTTGATAAATTCATGAAGACTACATATGGCGCTCCTTTGGTCAATCTGCCATCGTAAGTTGCCTGCTTGTGTCCTTAATTAGAGACCGCAAACGGCCCGCTCTTTGCATCTCCCTGATTGTTGTCGGAGAAGACCACACCGAGACGCCTAAGGTGTCTGGCGATACATACAGCAAATTCATCACTGGTACTCCTTTGATGTTGGAATATGAACGGATGGTGGCCGTGCTATGCATGGTTCATGACGTGGACTCTATGCGAGCACAGATTGTTGATAACGAATTGACTTTCTCCACTAGAATGGGTATGTCTTACTATCTGTATCATTTCTGCGTTAACAACCTCTTCGTTTAGAAAAATTCAGCCAATCACCTCGAAAACGCACTCAAAAGGACCTCTTCTCCTCTTTTCGAAGTGACGCTACCACAAGCAACAATAGCCCCGCACGGCAATTTACGTACAGTACCCTCGGCGCTTCTGATCAAGGTCATTCGCTCTTTCAAACCTCAACCAACTGCTGATAAGCGCATATAGTTCCTGTCCTTGATGCCACTAATTTGGACAAGCCTATTGTTATTCCCTCTGGCTTGTCTAGCATGGAGAAAGACTATCCGCACTTTGGCCGCACTGTACCATCTAACTCAATCGCATTGGTGGCTTATACTGTAGGACAGTATAAGTCCACCCACTTCCCAAATGACAAGTCCCTGAGCTTCAATCTCATTTGGGCAGCTGTTATTTCCGATGGAGGGGAATAGATGGTGATAACTTTTCATTTTCCATATTGAATATCTGATTTACTAGTTTTTATCTCCATAGGCGCTTTGCAAAACCTGGGTGCCCGATACGCCTTATCATCTTGCTGATATCTATGAGTCCTTTGTTATTCAACTAACATCGATGGCAGTCAGAACATATAGTTGCTCACCCAACTGTTTTATCATACCCGCTTATATCTTTAACCTCACCATCGGCAGAGCTGTTATGTCTTTTTTTAGTTCTCAATTGATTGGTTTGCAACGCACCGACATCTGAGTCTTACTTTGAACGTATCTGTAGCTACATTTGGCTGAACCCAGATGACACGAATCATCTGTATGAATTTGACTGGTCCTATGATTTGTATCGTAACATGCATTCGGACTAGCCGAGATGACATATAAGATTTCAACACGTCCTGGGGTTTGTATACCAACATGCATTCGGACTGGCCGAGATGACACGTACATTGTATATGAATTTGATTTGACCAGCAGTTCTTATACATAACATGCATTCGGACTAGCCGAGATGACACGAATACATATAGGAAGGCAATTGAAAGCGATTGGTCAACAGCTCCTTCCAGGACGTTCTAGCTAGCCAGTGTTGGAGGTAGATTCAAGGATATTCGGCCAACAAATTGTTATCTGCATAGATTTGGCTATTCATCGTAGAGCTGCAAGTTAGACCAGGATGGAATGCGAAGTGAGATGTCATTGATCAACATTATTAGCCTCTCGAAAAAACACTAACAAATAATATGTTAAAATTTATTCAGCATTTGCTAGTCTAAGGGATCTTTACATACCGGCCCGCATTTAATAGATATGGCAAAGTTCTCAATAATTGCTACTAGTCTACTTTGTAGAAAGTTTTACAAAGCGTGGATGCTTGCATAGTCCATGCTCGAGCATCACAACGTTATAACACATTGCTTTCCTTTGCTCTGATGTCAGTCTTTCCAAAAGGAAATTGTCGAGATCTTTGAATTCCTGAACAACAGTGTGCGGCGGAGCATTGGCATCAACCAACTTGAGGTCCTTCAGGCCCTTCTTAGCGCCCCTGTCAACAGCAACAACTAACGAACCCCATTCATCTGGAGAAGTTTCACGCATCGCTCCAGCTTCAATGAGATCTCCAACTATAAGAAGAGCTGTTAGTCCTCCAATGTTTGGGAAACGCCCAGGAGAGATGAGCCAGTCATAAAGCTCCCGTGGGCTTGGATCTCTCTGTATCATCTCCTCCCAGGGAACCGTTTTGGTTTTCTTCCAGTATTCTGAAGTAGATCTCTCCCAGTATTGGTCAAAAAGCGATGTAGAACGTTTAACGTTGGACGTTCCATAAATTGCCATATCTCGGAAATAGTCTTCTGTTGCACCTTTCCGACGATTCTCCTCCTCTTCGAGTACCTTAGCAGACTTGGCTTTCTTTGGAGCAGTACCAGCTTTCTTTTTCTTCTTCTTCTCTCGACGCTTCACAGCTTCCTCTTTCTCTTCAGTTCCAAGAATGCTTTCCTTTTCATCATAAAAATCGTTCCACTCCTCTCTGCTGTTGAAATATCGATAATCATCTGCAGCAAAATTGGATCCATAGAATATTCCACGAAAAGCTAGAACGTTGGCAAAGCCTTGAGCTGTGCGAAGTCGATCACGATCAGAGTAAAGGACTTCCATTGCTCGTTTCATGGTAGGTGCACATTGGCGAAATGGTAGTAAGTAATCAAGATCAGCAGCAACCTGTGACAATTTGCTGCGTGCAGGATATTTTTGACCAGGCTTCTCAATCAATGGTAAAAGTTCGCAAAGGTAATCACAGAATACTTGTCGTTTTGCATCAGCATCATTGTCGGCATTGGAAGGAGTCTATAATTAACTTTATTAAGACGTCTCATATCAAGATGTGATTTATCTTACTGGCTGAGATGCTGCTTGTGGATTTGGCACCAATGTGGAACGGTTTGAGGATGGTAATGAAACAGCAGGTGGTTGAGATATCTTCAATAATACACATTTAGACGCAAACAAGATGCAGGAACATTAAACTCACTTTAGGGTTATCACTTGTACGAGTCTTGTACCAAGCTGCCGAACGGGTTCCAAGGTGAATCAAATCTTTACAGAGTTTACTATCAGGATTGCTGATGGGGTGTTGTTGTATACGGTTTCTGAATCCACTGAAAAGCTCTTGAGGGGTTCTCTTCTCACTTTTTGCAGTCCCTCGGAGCAAACACAGAGTAGGATTTTGGTATATGTCCCAGACTACGTTTAGATAAAGTATAGCATTTGTCTCATGCTTCATACTCAAAAACGCATTCAGAAAAGCATATCTTGCCAGACAAATGCCATCATTAGGAAGGCCTATCCACTGGCGTATAATGGCAGTGGCAAGAACATAGGCCTCTTCTGCTTTCTTCTCCGTAGTCCAAGAGGCTCTATAGCGAGCAGAGCAGTATAAGTATTCGTTGGGGGGGTCAATGGCTGCAAGGTATTTTGCAGAGGAGAACATGACCGCAGGTTGTCCAGGTTCCATATTACAGAGAGCTCGGTAAACGTCTGAAACGAGTTGATCAACCCAGCACTCGGAGTCATGCACTTTCTGTGACATGGACGTCTGAACAATTGAATCAGGCCAATAAAAAAGACTCCAGGCAGAATACATGACCAAAGAGCGTGCCATTTTCACTTCAACAAACTGTGACCCTACGTAGTTTTCTAGGTGATTGAAGCCTTTCAGAACATTTGCCACAAGTGAAGCCGTAGATGAATTGGATGGTGAAGTTTGTATAGCGTTGAGCATTGATTGACAAGAAGTAGCCGTTGAGAGTACGTCAGAAATGGTTGTAGTAGCGCGTATCTCTCCGATCGAATTATCGAAATCATTTGCAGCGGATAATATAGCTTCCTCCGTTAATTGGTTCAAGAATTTGTCAATATTATCTGCAAAGGGCTCCATGAAAATACAATGCAGATAATATATGATTGATACCTTTAGTTGTTATGGTAGAATCTAACTCTGGGCTCGTCGAATCTGATTCTGAGGAGCTTTCGGAGCCATTAAGAGGGACGTTCCTTTGGTCGGGAGCTAGGGCATCGAAGTCGATATGTCCTATCTCAGGGAACAAAAGTCTTGATGTTTGAGGGGATTGTGGTGGCGAAGTAGATTCATACATGCTGCTATCCTCATCAGATTCTGTAAAAGAATCTTACATCTTATTTATAAAAGTTTACATCATTTGAGTCAAGTTATCATACCATCTTCACTCCTTCGTTTTCTGCGCAAGTACCTTTTAGAAGGACCAGCACCTCCTCCATACATCTCAGGTTCCTGAAGTAAGGACCCAGATTTCTGAGCTTGACGTCTTGATTTTCTTAACTCAGGCGGATTTTCCGGCTCAATGTCTTTAGCTGTCGACAGGATACTGAGCTAAGTAAACCAACCAAAACAAGCTGTTTACCTCTTTCTTTCCCTTTTCTTTTCGAATCAGGTACCATTTTTGTGGGGTTTAACAGTAGTTGGGTAGATTGCGATTCTGTATTTGCCCTTAGAAAATCAGTTTGCATAAGATAGCCAAGTACTCACGCATTAAACTCTCATTGTGAGCTGTTTCATCAGTCTTCTTTCTTCGTTCTACAATATAATCGGCTAACTGAATATATCTGTTTATTGAGAAACGCTTACTTCTTTTTGGACTGTTATGTCCACCAGAGGTGTTATCTTGTTCTTTACGCTTGTTTTCTGTAGAATACATGTAAGTAAAGATAAATACAAGATTTCTTTTACTTACGAGGGCCTTTGTCCTTCATGGAAGCCCGAGGCAAAACTCTTCTGCTTGTTGTACCTTCTTCAATAGCCTTGCGTATAACATCAAAGTTTCCCAAGCAATCTTGCATTGAAGGGATAAACTCAGCAACTCTAGCACAATATGATAACCAAGAGAGATGGTGGTCTCGGCGGTGAATGATAGAGTTGTTTACAGAAGGGATAAAATTATCGTCTTCCATCTGATGGTCTGTCAACGATGATGTGGCGATGTTAGGAATGGTGGGGTCTGCCACTAAAGACTCTGATGTTTGAGATGGAGATGGTCGAGGAGGAGTATCTGGGTGAGCTGCATTCGGAGCATGAGCCCAATCACCTGCAGTTACGATGTTGCCATTCTTGTCAACCATCGAAATAGAGTTGAGAAATTGCTCGGTATCGATTAGAACTTGAAGTCGTCGAGGTAACTGCATGAGAACATGCGACGAGAGTTGCAACAAACTCCTGGAGACATATCTGAACAAAGATATATCTTCCATGACGCTTTCACCATCGGTGGCCCAGTTTGCTTCATTAGAAGACTTGCGTTCCTGGAGGGACCTATGAACAAATGTCAGAGGTTACTTCTTAAATGTAATTTAAAACACCAACACGTATCCAGTAACTTCAGGCGGCAACTCCAGATATCCCTTTCCGAGAGACGCTAGTATGGTCTTCACAGAGCCTGAGCCATTGATCATTGATTCAGGTGGATACATTACTCCCATCATGCGAGTAGCATGAGCGTCAATTACTAACTTCCCTGGAGGTGCGATCGGTGGTGTTCCACCGTGCTTGTTTAGACCACAGAAGACAAGAATCTTCATGAAATCCAGCCGTGCATAGACACCAAGAGACAACAAGTGGAATCTTCCATCTTCATAGCCTTCAGGAAGACGAGACATTGCCATCATGGTGGTGAGGCATCCAACACAGTCTAAACAATCCACATGACCATCTAGGGTCCCAAAGTTACCCATGCCCTCCAGCCCTTTTCCTAAAACTTGGTTTTAATATATACGGTAACTTCTCACCAGTAAATACTTACTTCTGCATGTATCACGAGTCACAGCAGCTGCGATATTTATTTGCTGCGCAGGTGCCACCACGTTTCTATCATTGCCGATACGTGGAATATTATCTACTTCGGAATGTTCCTTGAGAAGCGCCAAGTAGTCTTTTGGGGCACAGGCCTCCATGGAATCCATAGTCACGGCGGCTCCAAGCTACAGAAATTTCAAAATCAATTGAACAAAAACAATACATAGAACTCACTGCAGCCATGCGTTTCCTTATCTTTTGCATCTCTGACATTTTGCCGTCATAAATTTTAGCTGAAGCTGTGATCCCAACAACGTCTCGTGGGTGTTGGTGGCTAAGAGTATTGGTGTAGCACCGGGTGTCTTTAATGCCTTGTATACCACTTCGTTCTAGAGCTGTTCCTCCTACAAGTTTACCATCCACCATGACAGGACGTTCTGGCGTTATAGAACCTTCATCGCCAAGAAGGCCATCGCGAACAGCTGCAAACTCCAATAACATGTCAGGATTGAATATCTGATTCCTTTTACAAGGTCAAGCTATATTTCATTGAAAAAGCATTATGTTACACACCCGCCCACAACCCAAGCCACAACCACATCCATGTTTGGATCTTGAAGGTTGTCATCCCTCCTTTTTCGAACATAAATGACAGAGCCCTCCTCAAGTTCAAAGAGGCCTAAATAAAGATTTGTTCAGTGCATTTACGTGAAAGATTTTATTCACATACCATGGCCTGCCATAGTTTTATCCGGACCCAACGGTACCTTAAGATCTTTTTCGAAGAGGCGTTTGACGCGCATTGCTGAACTTCTTGTGTCCTCCACATAGACGTAAATGTGCTTTATAACATTGGTGTTGTGTACCAAAGGATGGCTCTCCACCTTGTATAGATACGGAAAGCGAGCATCGCGGTTTTTGTGGTGACAAAGCATGCCATCTTTGACGATCTTGAAGGGATCCGATGGAGTCTGGGCCATAAATGCCTTTTTGTCTGATGGATACTGATTGGAAGCCATAGTTGTGGTGTTTAGAGCTGGAGATGGTAAGGAGATGGCGAAGAAAGAGGATGCAACGTGTTTGAGGTGGCGTTTGGACTGGCCAAGACAATGATTACAGACCCAGCTAGAGGAGGTCGTGTTTGGATTGACCAAGACAACGATGACCGATGCCGCTGGAGAGAAGGTCGCGTTTGGATTGACCAAGACGACGACGACAGAGACTGAGTGCGATTGTGACACAATGCGATTGTTGAAAGAGTGTGTTCAAGACAACAATTACAGACACAGCCGAAGAGGAGATCGTGTTTGGATTGACCAAGACAACGATGACTGATGCTGCTGGAGAGAAGGTCACGTTTGGATTGACCAAGACGACAACGACAGAGACTGAGTGCGATTGTGGCACAATGTGAGAGCATGTTGTGTAAGTATCAGAAATATCCGAAAATGACATACTTCCCTTGTGGGCTACCTTCAAAATCAAAGGTAGCCTGCAAGGGAAGTACGTCATTTTCGGATATTTCCGATGAGACGTTGTCTACTGGCGTTTTTTAGTATTTCTGATAAACGTTACTTTTTCTAGTCACTTTTTCAGTTGCTTTCTAGTCATTATGCACCCAACATTGATTACTCATGAAATTGCTAACTGTCATATAGCTGGAGATCGGGACTGCAGAGTTGGGGTATACAAATTACATAAAGCTTTGTTAACACGATCTATTCCACAAACAGGGACATAGGTGGGGAAAGTATTGGGAGTTAAAAAGGAGGATGAGGAACACAGGATCGTACAGCTGTTCTTCTCCACCACTTGTCCTACTAGGCAAAGGATTGGTGTCAAACTCCAAACGACGCCACCTAGGGAAATTCAAACGTGTTTTTAACACAACACCCGCATCCAAGCTCAGGACCGCATCAAGCGCCTTGCCAGACTCTTCCCCATTGCCCATCGCAGACCACCTCCCAAACAACTGAGAAACGTACAACTTCCTCGTTAATTCGAAGAGCTGGAATATGGATATGGCACTGAACAATGTACCACAATATACGCAGTTTAAAGGCTTGATATGCGTGATCTGACACGTGTTTGTGGGATGGAGGTGGAAGAGGGTGTGTAGCAGAGAGATGTCGTCTCGGGTGGATGATGGTGATGAGGAGAGTTTGAAGAAGTGCGGGTGTTGAATTGTGCTTTGTAGAAGACGTTTTTCGATTAATGGCTCGAGGAAGGTAAGGGTGAGAGGGATGGGTGATGGGTAAGGAGGAAGGGTACTTTCAATGATGTTTCCCGGAGAGCAGCCTCAGCAAGCTTGAGTGCAGAGGGGCTTGACAATCGATTTTGTATGATAACTTCAAGGAGAGTCTCAACTGTGTTCGGCTTGGATATAGACGTCAATTCCACCAATTGTTACTAACTCGACCGTTAGAAAAGAGTTAAAAAAGGTCGAACAAAACACGTACTTAGTTCCTCAACAACCCTCTCAGCACCCTCATCCTCTTCTTCTTCTGAGCACTGCCAAATCGCCCGTTGCATCCCCTGATCAACAACACTTGATACAACAGCCTTCACGTCTGACCCGCGATCTTGTGGATTCCAGCTATCAAGCTGAGAAACTCTGGCATTTCGGCCGTTGAAGGCTTCGACTCCAGCGTTGTTGTCAATCGTTTTAACAGAGCTTCGGAATGTCCAGACGATGTCAATGAGATCAATTGACAAGCAGAGATTTCAGCTCGAGCTCGTAACAATGACAAGGCCTCTCCGTCGAGTACAACGCCCACCAGCCGAGCGAAAATCCGCAATGAAACCTCCCCATCAAACCCATAAAGATCACCACCCCTAACTCCCCTGGGCTCACAGCGGCCTTCGACCTCTTCACGATCCGAGCTAGAACCAGCAACAACCCCGCTACCGCGCCTTCACTCGCACTCTGCTGCTGGGCCGACAACCGATGCATAATGAGGCGCACCACTCTTATTATATCAACCAAAGATGTGGTTTGCGTGAATGCGGAGTCAGAGGTAACGACACGGCATTTCTCTTCCATGATTTCATCTTCTCTTGTGTGTAAGAAAAGCCATGCGAAGTCCAAACTGTGGTAGTGGTAAGAGCCTTTTAAAAGAAGAGAATGAAAATAACATACTGGGCCTGGAAATCCGATACAACCTCGAGTCCGTCCCAGATGTTAGACTGTTCACAGGATACAAATACTCCACCAGATATCGGACTGCAGGTGCATGGAATTTAGAGACTTGATTTGCGAGCTGCCTTATTTGGGTGATTCACTGTGTTTTCAACGTGGCTGTAGTAGCAGTCAACACAAATGGGCATTGAAGGGGACAGAAAGGACTCACGGATCTGCATACCCACGTCTTGTATGATGTGCGTCGCAGGGGATGAGATATGTGAACAATTTGGTGAGAAGGTACACCAAGAGGTGCGTTTCCACGCGCCGAGTGAGCAAGGATGAACATATGGGTGGACTTGTCATCCACAAGAGACACGAGATGCTGAACAACCCAATCGAGCGCGTCACTCAAATCCTCGGGTCCTTGTAATAACTATGTTCGGCCAACCTTTCTACAACAATCCTACCAATCAGCGGGATACCGCTATGCGCCAGCCCAACGGGCCTACCCACAAACGAAACCTGAATGGCTTCGCGCCCTCGCCGATCAACGAACGCGCCGACGTCAGTGGCTTCCTGACGAAGACGATGATAGCGAAGAGGAGTGGTACAATCAGCTAAGACCTCAGGAACGCCTCTAGGCGCTCGAGAGAAAGGAGAGGGAGGAACGCGCAGAACGATGTGTCTTCTGAATGTGACGGGGATCCAGACATACGGTTGGCATATACCGTGCTCTGCACGCATACACGGATTCAATGGATAAGCTCTTGATGAAGTTGGATGGGGTGGAGAGCTGAGGCGATGCAGATGTCCGAAAGAGGGGGAGAGATGTTGTGAAGACGATTGAAGAGGAGGCCAGTAACCGCCTGCTGTGGATGTGGCAATACAGAATGGTGTCGCGTTTGGATTGACCAAGACGACGACAACGGAGACCGCAGTGAGTTTGTAGCAAGTGAGACTGTGTCCCGTTTGGATTGACCAAGACGACGACGACAGAGACAGAGCGTTTGTAGCAAGCGAAACTGTGTCGCGTTTGGACTGACCAAGACGACGACGACAGAGAAGGAGAGTTTGTCGCAAGCGAAAGTTGACGTTTTCGGAAGTAGCCGAAAATGACGTACTTCCCTTGCGGGCTACCTTCAAAATCGAAGGTAGCCCGCAAGGGAAGTACGTCATTTTCGGAAATATCCGAATTGTCACGTTTTCTGCGCTCTTCCTCAACTCTCCCTTCTACTTTTGCAGTCCACTCGTCGTTGTCTTGGCTAGTCCAAACGCTTCGAGTGCGACGATATCTTGTCACGTTTTCTGCGCTCTCCCTCAACTCTCCCTTCTACTTTTGCAGTCCGCTCGTCGTCGTCTTGGCTAGTCCAAACGCTTCGAGCGCGACGATATCCTGCCATGCACTCTTTGTTGCACTCTCGTTGTCGTCTTGGCCAGTCCAAACGCTTCGAGTGCAACGTATCTACCAGGCACGACGCTATGACTATCTATTATTGCAGCTTCGTCGCCTCCTCTTTGCCCTACGCATTCTGCAAGCGCTGGTTCAAATTCCTTCATCATCACAAAGATTGCATACGGCCTCAACATCTCCAACCTCGCTGCATGAAAGTTCTGGTATGTTTCATATCCTACTTACTTATATACTGCAACTTATCACTATATCAAGCTCACAATGCAAGACCTATGATAGCTATCTCCCTTGGTCGCTCTCACCCTCCTCACACCCATCATACCCGCCCAGAGCTCCCGTATTTTCCGATGCCCCTGTATCACCTTTTTCTTCCTTGGCCGCCTCCAGCACCTTCAGCTGCAGGTGCGTTAGGCGGTTCTGGACACGTATAGCATTAGCTTTGGTCCTGGATATACGTTCCTCTGCGAAGAGAGGGGCTGTGGTGACCTTTCCCTCCTCGATCTCGCCCATTTAATCCCCGCAACCGCCAATCGATGATACGCAATTGCATCCAACTTGAACCTCCCAGCCTGTATCCCCCTGGCACCTCCCTCCCCAATTACACTTCTCCCCGGCCACCTATCTATATCATACTCCCTAGCATCCTCGAATCACAATGCTGTTGCTTGGCTCTCCCTTGCAATTCGCGCCTGATCGTCTGGCTTCAATAACTACTGCCACAGCAATGTGAAACACGTTGATGTCTGTGGATCGACCTGATCGTCTGACTTGCCTTGTAATTCCGCGGACTTTGTATGTAATCATGTGGCGGATTTCAAAACCGATGAACTTAGAGCAGTTGATAAAATTTCTTGGAAGGCGCTGGTCAGTTAGATCAACGGGATTTGCACGAAGAGACCACTCCTCACATGTATTGCAGTGGAAACGCTTTCATAAATACCTTGTCATCACCCAATACGACATCTTCAAGGATGAAGTTTCCTTTCGAGCTGGAGACCGGATAGAGGTCGTCGAGAAGGACGACATGTACAATGATGGCTGGTGGCAGGTGTGTATCTTTTTATCTAGACCTAGGCGCCCAGACATCCACAGGGGACAGTTGGATACGCCTTTCCCCTCAATGAAAATGATTGATGACATTCCTATCTTCTCATAGGGACGGAATCTCGAAGGAAAGGTCGGCCTCTTCCCAAAAAGCTATATCGCTCCAGCTGCCCCATCTACCGAGGTCCCAGCGCCTCAATCCACCCCATCCGCTAGTGCTGAGACTTCATCCGCCCCCAACGGACAGCCGAAAATCACCACCATCGCCTCTCCACAACCCAAAAAACTCACAGCAACGTTCCTAAGTGGCCATCACGATGACGAAGGCGATATGGAAGTCCCAGATAGCGGAGATCTGCAGGGCAACGGAGACGAACTTAGAATGACAGATGTGCAGAGAGCTATTGAGCCGCTTGCAAGGGGGGGCACGGATGGGGAGGGGAGTTTTACTTTTGCAAGCTCAGATGGTGGGGACACGGAGACGGACAAGACGGAGTTTGAGATGAGCAGTAAAGCAAGCTCGCGTGCGAAATAGCGCAGAAGGCGGCAAGCCTGGTGACAGTTTGAGCTTGTTCGCAGTGCCATTTGGTGGGAAGAGCAGAAAGCCACCTCCCAGCGCCGGCGAGCTCAGACCAGCTGATAACGCCTTGGTGGAATGGGCAAGACTGGACCCATAGATTCTACAGAGATGGATGAACAGTACCGAAGATCTTAGGGAACATCGGTAAGCAAAACAAGTATATTTTCATTGAATAAATAACTGATGCCCTCGCCAGCAGTTCTGCCGCTATCGTCGATGCCAAATCTTTAAATTCGATGGCTCATTCACAGCAAGACTGGCTGGTACTCGCTCCCTCCAATGTCTAACCTCCTGGATATATTTGGTATGTACTATGACTGGGTATCCTACTGTTAAAGAGACTTAATTCTCATGATGTGGCAGTTGTGGATTCTTCGCAAGCCTTTCTTACTGAGGCATCCTTCACCGAACGTCAATCAGGCAGGATTCCAGGTGATCAGCTACGCAAACTAGCTCGCCCAGCCAGATTTCAACGCAAATACCCGAATGATTCCGAATGCGCACATCCTATGGTGCTGCCTGCCACGTCGAACTTTTAAGCTAAAAAAATTCAGGTGGCAACTTGAATATTCGGGGTCCGCAGTTGGGCAGAGATTAATGTTGCACAGGAGATCGGGCCCGTCACAGTTTGGTAGTTATACGTTTTCTATACTTAATAATAATATATATTTTCAATTTATTTGTTGCTGTTGGTTCTGAGCGGCATCCAGCAAACTTGCCAGCTTTCGCAACACCATCATCATCGTCTTGGCTAGTCCAAACGTGTTTGCCGCAATCATCAGTTCTGCTTTACACTTGACAAAACGAACTTTTCAAACGATCTCCCACACGCTATAAAGGAACTTGCTTTTCACAGGACACGCACTAGATCGTTCGGACGTTACTTTTACACACGAGGAGCATCGTCTTGGCCAGGCCAAACGGGTTACTTGTTTGTGTCCAGTCCTTACACTTGAGGTGCACGTCTTGGCCAGGCCAAACGTGTTACTTGTCTCGTGTCCAGTTTCTGACTTGCGTCCAGCTTCTGCGACTACTGTCGGCATCTTTCTGCGATCTAAAGGCATCGGCGCTCAATCTTGACAGTTCATTTCAAACAAACGTTCAAACGTTCACATCACAAACAACTACTATCGTCTTGGCCAGTCCAAACGTGCTTGTTGTGTCGTCTTCTGGATCGTATCTTTGCTCAAATATTCGGGCATCTCATTGTAACTATACATCGTCTTGGCCAGTCCAAATGTGTCGCTCAATTTGTGCATAGTTCCTGTCACCGTTATATCCATCTTTTCGTCGCCTAAACGTGTCAGTCCTCAGTACATCTTCAATCGATCAAATAATGGATCGCTTCACCTAGTATGTCAGGATTTTCATTGATAAGAAGACTTGGACTCATGGATATTAGTGAACGTTCCCGTTTTCCGACTGCACGTACATCGGGCCGCCGCGGTGTATTCCAACAGTATTGTCATACCTGGAGTAGCATTTTAGTTAAAGATGAACGCGCGTATGTTCTATCCTATGCTCAACACTAATGGCCTCTCAATTGATCACTGTTACTATAGCCCGATTGATCATTCTCGAGGGCGCTTGCAGTCTGTCAATGGTATAATGTTCTATTCACCAAACTGTTCAGATACTGTTAGCGCTCCACGTCCCAGTCCTGATCGCGAGTCGAACAGCCTCGTCATCAATTACCATAATGATCTGTCCTCCTTGGTCAATGATCCTCAGTGGTGGACAGCAAATTTTGGTTGGCTGTCCTTTACACCTAAAAGGCCTTTCTTTGGTGGTGGTCTACTGGGGCGACTGGCAGACATACATATTGAGGAAATCGAGGGAAAGTATTCAATGCCTGAAGACTTGATAAATAGCTGGACAAAGCTTGAATACATAATTCGCAGTGTCATCATTATATTGGGGGGCGTGTACGGAATACCTTCTATCGGTCCTGCCTATCCTGCAGCCAGAGGATATCAGAGGCAACATGCTTATCGATCAGTAGCACATCGGGAAGCCCGAGCTTCTCGTGATATATTTGTGCTGTGGATTGGCCTATTATCGTTCTTAATAGCAGGAGCAGATAGCTTATCGCAAAAGGGCTATGAATGGCCTTCTCTTCTCGAGAATCATTTGCAATTCCATCCTGCCATTGCTGATTTAATTCGGGCATCTGACCTTGGCACGTTCTCACATGAAGTTCAGCGCGTTGGAGCGTTTATCTATCTTACCAAAGATGACATCGAAAAGACTCACCAACCTTCTGTTCGCTGGCTAATCGCTCACAACATTCCGATCTGGTATCAATGGGATGTGGACGAAATAGAGTGGGCAAAGCATGACCCAATATTTGCTCAATTTGGTCCCCCGCAAAGTGGTGGAATACCAGAGTCATCTGCAAATCCTCTCGGCTCTCCGGCAACAACCACAGTCAAAACAATCACTTGGAGAGAATTCTTTGAAAGACGTGAGGAAAATCGTCCCCGTCTTTTAAGTCTGGAGACAGCATTGGAGCGTGAAAGACACTTGAATCGAGAACGAAATCCACCCATAAAATCTGCAAAGGTTTTTGTATGGGACCGTGACCCTGAACTCCCTGGTCGAGAAGAAGTCCTTGCTAGTGAACGTATCGAGACTTTGGAGGAATATGGCCCTGAACAGAAACGATATGATTCCTATTGGAACGAATGGGATTGTTGTTTTGAATTTGGAAGGTTCCGTACTCCATCTCCAGATGAAATGGAAGATGAGCACATGGATATGGCCCCCTCTGCAGATCAACAAGCTTCTGAATATGATATTGATTTCATCCCTCGTGAACAACGATGCCCAACCCCTCTACCTGATGATCTGTATGAGCAAACAGATGTACCCCCTGATATCTTTCAAGATGGCCCCCAGTCAACAATTGCTGGCTTAATTTCAGAAGTACAGGAGACCTTGACCCTTCACTATGGCATGGTTCTGCCAGATCTTAACCAAGCCAATTATAAGGAGGTTTCAGACAAAGAGAAGAAATTCTGGCTGCGGTGGATTGGAGTTTGTGAAGAGAAAAAGCTTGAATCTGTTGTTTCTCATTTCTGGCCAACTGCACGGGGCCGTTTTTTTGTTGAATTTACACGTCAAATTCTCGAAGGGCAGCAAATCATCTCCGATCTTGAACTTCCAAAATCTTCTTCTTTTCGTGAACGCCTTGATTCTATTGCCTTGTACAGAAATTCTGACGCCGATGTACCAGCGAAATGGCTCTACGTATTTTTATTCGATAAAGTCACAGTTCGCTGGAGGCTAGCTGTAACAACAGCCTCTGATGCGTTGCTGGTTTGCCGTCTTGATGCTCAATTTCTGGATGTAGATATTGCATGTTTCTTGGCATTACGTGGGATTCCATTCCGCACTTTGCTGACTGAGCCGCTTATGCCGCGCTCAATATCGTACCCCGATGTTGAGTTATTTCTTCCACAGCATCCTGCCAGATACCGCTTTACCAAATTGGATTATGAGGCATATCTGCAATGTCAATCACGAATTCTTCGATGTCCCCGCGTACGGGCAGCTATCCTTCGTGGTGGTTTTTTGTGGCGATTGACAATTGGAAGCGTGAGCATAGATGAGTTGTTGGAAGGACCTGTTGGAGGAGGAAGCCTTCTTGTTGTCGACAATAGCAAAGGATATCCGCCGCTTCTCGATGATAAGCTGACTCATAATGAAATGGACTGGATCTGTGGAATGTATGTGTGCTCAACAGGTATGTTTCTTATTAAAAACTCTTCACTTTCTGAATATTCTGTGAAATCAAGGAGTTGCCAAAGTATATTCCAACAAATCATGGTGGCCACCTTACAACATCTTTGACAACAACAATGCATGTGAAAGTTATGGTCACTGGAATGAGATGTTGGAATCAACATACGTTAAACGCTTGCAAGATATTCGTTTGGGTGCAGCTCAACCTCTTACAGTATCAGATTGGAGGAATAAGCTCAAAGGACATAAGGAAACACGGGAACTTAAATCTATGAGGGAACAGCGAGCTACGGCCTTTTTTGATCATGCATAATAGTATACACGCGAGCGAAAATCAAAGAGAGTGAGAAGACATCTGAATTTGTGTACATATAGGTCATGTGTTGTTATGAATATAAGCGCTTGTTTGTCCAGTCACGTGAAGGTTCAAGTTCAATTGCGTAAGTTTTTCATTCTTCTTTCTTGATCTTACCATCATGCATACTACACGAGCCATTGCTTTCTTCATTATGCTTCTTATCCTCATTGGCATATCCCTGATTTTCAACGCACATCATTTGCTTGATGACTCCTGTCATCACTTCAAACCATATATAGAGATTGGAAACAATCCGAGCCTTTTGGCATTTTTTGCTCAACCAGCTGCGTTGGTTGAGAGGCACGGCCTTTTGGCACTTGATACTCGACCAGCTACCTTGGTTGAGAGGCATGGCCTATTGGCACCAGACTACCATAATCGTAGTCATGATACGGCACATGTCAATGACACATACATTCAATTGCAAGGATTGAACTTGTGGGTGTGGGCCAGTGCTTTGCATGGCATGTATGAGTCCTTTCTGTGGACTCTAAATTTAATATTAGGAAATTGGTCATGTAATCACTTTATGATTTTCTGAGTTTTGTTCTATATTTGCAAATAGACCCTGAGCTCTGAGCCTAGCCATCAATATCATAGCAACAATGTGTGCTATTCTTTTCTTTTTTTCTTTTTTTTTTCTTTTTATAGCAAATTTTCCCAATTTTATAACTATTTTTCTGTTTATGGTAAAATATTCCCACAGTCTAGTTATATTTTGTGACCTATAATAGCATGCTCTATATATTTGTGATGAATTTCCTTTTTTGGGTTAAAATTCCCACAGTATCAGAAACACAGCCTCTCACTTAGCTCCATAAACAACAATTGTAGCCCCTTTCCTTACCTTTATAGATATATATAAATAATGTCATGCAGACCATTCCTCATTGAGAAAAACACAAAATACTGAAAAAATTGGACACTTTTTGGAAATTGTCATGCATTTTTGACCAATATCTCAAAGAGCAAGAAAGCTGGTCTCAAAATATAGTCACATTGCATGATATGACAATATTTTTACATGGTTGTCTTGATTTCCATATTTGGATATGGACCTTGAATACTGGACACAGCCCCTTCAACACCATGGCAACAGAGAAGATCACTCTTAATTTTGGGGTATTTTTTTCAGATTTTCTGGCAACTTTTAGGTGGTTTCTATATTTAGATATTGACCCTGAACCCTGAACAAAGCCTCCCCACCTTACTAAGCAATATTCTGATTTTTACATATTTTTTGCTGATTTCTTTTACCATTTTTCCTGATTTTATGGCTGCTTTTCTGTTTAAGGGAAAAGGTTCCCGCGGTGATGAAAGGTAAATCAATGAATGAATCAATGAAAAATTTGCCTAAGTCCTCAGTTGATAAAGAATGAGTCTTACTCGTAAACTCGTAAGGACTCATAATGAGGCACAGATAAAGTACACGTACATTCAATTGCAAGGATTGAATGAGGCACAGATAAAGTACACGTACATTCAATTGCAAGGATTGAATGAGACACACAGAAAGTACAGATACATTTTGCAGGGATTGAATAGAGCACATACGCTTTACACATACCTTCGATCGCAAGGATGGAATGAGATACAAGTTCAATTTACCAATATCACGAAGATTAGAATCACAAATCTATCCAACGCCTTACCATCATTTCCGTCTATATGTTGGATGATACTGAATGCTCTGCTTGAATATGTGCATCTCACAATACCATATATCTTACACACCTGTATACTTGCCTATCTGTGTTCAAACGATACACCTTCTCGGTTGTGTGTGGCCTTATGGTGTCGATTTCAACAGCATTGCATGCTGAAACATGAATACCGTAACTTGATTAAAAAATTATTGAGATTACAAGGCTCTTATAAGCTTCTATCTTATTTCTTCATATTCTCTTTTAGCCTTCAATTCATGTTGTTTCGTAGATCAGTTCAATCTGTAGATGTCTTCAGGTCTGTGGGTTATGAATCTTGGTCATCTATATCAATTTGGTATACTTATGAACTCCCATTGTCTAATAGAGTGCTTAGTTCACTAGAAGCTAACTCTAGTTACCTCCATTCAATAACCCATTGGTATGGCTGTTATTGCCATGAACCTATGATTACTTGTGGGTGTGGGCCAGTGCTTTGCATGGCATGTATGAGTCCTTTCTGTGGACTCTAAATTTAATATTAGGAAATTGGTCATGTAATCACTTTATGATTTTCTGAGTTTTGTTCTATATTTGCAAATAGACCCTGAGCTCTGAGCCTAGCCATCAATATCATAGCAACAATGTGTGGTATTCTTTTTTTTTTTTTTTTTTTTTCATTTTATAGCAAATTTTCCCAATTTTATAACTATTTTTCTGTTTATGGTAAAATATTCCCACAGTCCTGTTTGCATATATCTCAGGAAAGAGGATGGTTAGTTATATTTTGTGACCTATAATAGCATGCTCTATATATTTCTGATGAATTTCCTTTTTTGGGTTAAAATTCCCACGGTATGAGAAACACAGCCTCTCACTTAGCTCCATAAACAACAACTGTAGCCCCTTTCCTTACCTTTATAGATATATATAAATAATGTCATGCAGACCATTCCTCATTGAGAAAAACACAAAATACTGAAAAAATTGGACACTTTTTGGAAATTGTCATGCATTTTTGACCAATATCTCAAAGAGCAAGAAAGCTGGTCTCAAAATATAGTCACATTGCATGATATGACAATATTTTTACATGGTTGTCTTGATTTCCATATTTGGATATGGACCCTGAATACTGGACACAGCCCCTTCAACACCATGGCAACAGAGAAGATCACTCTTAATTTTGGGGTATTTTTTTCTGATTTTCTGGCAACTTTTAGGTGGTTTCTATATTTAGATATTGACCCTCAACCCTGAACAAAGCCTCCCCACCTTACTAAGCAATATTCTGATTTTTACATATTTTTTGCTGATTTCTTTTATGATTTTTCCTGATTTTATGGCTGCTTTTCTGTTTAAGGGAAAAGGTTCCCGCGGTGATGAAAGGTAAATGAATGAATGAATCAATGAAAAATTTGCCTAAGTCCTCAGTTGATAAAGAATGAGTCTTACTCGTAAACTCGTAAGGACTCATAATAATCACATTTCTGATATTTAATGTTGCTATACTATTGGAGAGGCTGTATTCAGGGTCCAGGATACACTTCCAAATATGGGAATCTGCCGAAATATAGCTAAATTATTGTGTACAAGTTTCTTCACTTTTTCCTCATTTTCCAGCTGTTTTCTCTGAGTTGTTTTTTTTTCTGTCTATATTTAGATATGGACCCTGAACACAGCCCCTTCAATATCATGACAACAGCAAATATCATTCTGATTTTTCTTCCCTTTTTTGGCATATTTTGTAATCATGTTATACAATCTATCTGGCTTTGTTCTATTTTTAGAGATGGACCCTGAACCCTGAACACAGCCCATTCATGATCATGGCAATGGTGAATACCATGCTTATTTTTCACTTATTTTGCACTGCTTCTCAACCTATCTGCTTCCATTTTTCAGACAGCTTTCTATATTTGGATATGGACCCTGAACCCTGAACACAGCCTCTCCAACTTACTAAGCAATATTCTGATTTTCTACACATTTTTGGCCAATTTATTTGCCATTTTTCCTGATTTTATGGCTGCTTCTCTCCTTAAGAGAAAAGGTTCCCGCGGTGATGAAAGGTAAATCAATGAATGAATGAATCAATGAAAAATTTGTCTAAGTCCTCAGTTGATAAAGAATGAGTCTTACTCGTAAACTCGTAAGGACTCATAACTATACTACCTCAACAAACTGCTGGTGGAAAAAAACTTACAACATTTGAGAGCCTCAAACCATATATTACATCTGACACACCATCATCCAGTATGAAATTGGAGGGGTCAGTCAAATATAAATTTGTTGATCAACTTGTCTTACGGGCTGCAAGAGCTGAGTTGCGTAAAAACCCAGAGCTATTGATTTGTCATACTCCCTTAGAGATTTTGAAAGACTCTATTACTATTGGACAGGCAAAAGCAATTGCAAAAAAGCACCATGTATCAGTATTTGCTAGAGCTCCAGTCACTGAAGTGATGGAACTGTTATCTCAACATATGTGCACCTCACGTTGTGCCCATTATTATACCCTATTTTCTCCTGAAAATCCTGCCCTTACAACTACAGAACGTAAAGCAAGATGGTATAAGGGATTGAGTAAAAGTGATCGTAAAAAAGTCAACAAAGTTGGGTTGTCCAAGTGTAAAACCAAGTCAACCTTCAAAAATAACCGTTCTATTGAAAACAAAATTCATATATAAAGTCAAAAAATGTAATATTTCCTCCAAAGCCACCCT